GACCATCCATCATGATCTCGTCGATTTCTCAGCTTTACTTCCCTTGATCGCAGATTTCAGAAGTAACCAAAGCCACCATAGAGTGGTTGCGGTCTTCCCGCTGCTATAGTCCTGCCCACGGTCATCGACCTCCGCCATCGCACACACTAGATTCACTAGTTCTGTTTGGACCTTATAACGGAGGCATGCTGCGGCGAGGTCAAGCCCATTGGTGATTCCACCTGTCAATATGGAAGGGAGCATGACCAGGTTCTGTGGATCATCGTCTGACGACGCAGTTGACTTGGTTGAGAGAACCAAGGCAGCGCAACAAAGGAAAGGATAATGCTACTTGCGAACCATAGTTTTCCGTCGGTCTGATACCACCGCTCCACATACTTAGCTTCCGGTAATTTTTTCTTCAGATCAGGTATAAGTCCACGCGAGCCAGATACAAGCCTTCCATTCAAAATCCCGGCATATCCCCCAGGATAGCTTCTGGTGCAGGTCACGAGAATATCACTCATGCCTGCTTTCTCGTGCGCACGGAGGAAGTCCAAGTACTGTTCATCAGGGAATAGCCACCGATGTGTGCTTTAGGAACCATTGTTCCCGGGTCACAAGCAGATGCTAATATGGCCTCAATATCGATGTCTTCTCCGGCGAATTGAGCCTCCCCCCTTGCCCCTTCTTTCAGGAGGTTGCGGGCTTCTTTGAGCCTTCCCAGGGCTGCGTATTTGCTGTCGTTGTTTCCTGGAATGTTCGAGATGCTATCTTCGACCTGCCGGAGCAGGTCGGCGATTTGCACCGCTTGTTTCGATGTTGGCATTTTCCAGTCGAACGTGTATCTTTGAAAGACAGTCATAATAGATGTCCAGAAATGTCTAATTATGTGATAAAATGCCATTGTGTAGCCTGAAAGGAACTAGATTATAGTAGCCAAGGAATTCCTGGTGGGGAAGGTGAACGAAGGGAGGCGGCAAAAAGATGAAGGCGCACTTCGTGCGCATGTCGTTTGACCTCCTTTTATTCCATTGGCGAACATTCAGTGGCGGACGTCAAATATTTTCCGGGTCCCAAGGCGTGTCCCCAAGCCTAAAGTGATTGGTCTTGGGAAAAAATTTCCGATGCACGTCTGACCCTTTCGATCCACTGTCCCGTGGTGTGCAACTCCTCAAACCGGAAGTAAGACTGCTCTCAAGGCCATTGGTGCAAGCTTAATTTGCTGTGCAGATCCTCACTGTTCGAAGGCGATGAAGCCTTGCAGCGTAATAGCTTCCTTGATATTGCCATTTACATGCGGAGAAGATGACGTCTGTTGCTCTAGGAATATCCTCCATTGAATAATCGCTTACACTTGTCGACCCTGCTCCTAGAGCATATCCGCCCCACGGAAATCGCCAGTGCTAATGACAAAGGCAGCCTCGAAATACTGCTTTCTGAAAAAGAGTAGACCGCATACGTAATGGAATGATAAGCTAATGACGTCAGTTGTCAATACACCTTAATGCCTCTGGCTCCTGTCTCCCACAAATCCAGATCGAGTTATCGACATCAAGAGAACCCTCATCCAATGTCAACAGCATTCTGATCGGTTCAAAATGTCAGATCTGAAGTCCAAAGGAGGAGAGCCCATCGAAAAGGGTGACAGCGTGTATACACAGGCAAGTAATATACCGTCTTCCTGTTTTTCAAATATCTGACACGAGCAGATTCGGGGCGGAAAGCATGAGGGAAAGGTATGTTGATTGACATCTGATCGTATAATAACACGGGTGAGGCTGATTGGGACCCATCTAGGTTGAGAAGGTTGTGACAGATGACGAAGAAGCTCGCTGCCTGGATGCCAAGGGTGCAAGCCATGCCCCTGCTGTCTTGTTCACAGACCAGAACAATAAAAAGGTTTGTTTCAGAGGATCCATTGGATGAACGACTATGCTTAATTGACTTCGCAAATGCAGGTGGCGCATAAACCCGGGACATTAACAAACGAAAGTAAAGAACCATAAGGCCTAATGTGACAGTGGCCTTTGCGGGAACGACGGGGCTGTATCACTGACTAATTTTATGAACTAACAATGACGCCTTACGATTGGAAAGAGTACAGTTGAATTGAAATTCACCAAAGGAAAGTCCATAGTCAAGGGCAATATTAAATTGAGCTTGAGCGTTCAACTCGTTTTCTCAGTGGGACCAAGATCACTCCGTAAACAGTTCTCTGGACCAGCTGCACATCTTGTGACAAATGTTATCTACCTGGCTCAATCCGCGAGAATTCCCGGTTGCCATGTAACAAGAAGATTCTCGGTTGAACTGTTACTATAAAACTGATCAGAGCTGGGACCAGGAATCCAAATAAGGGGAATATTACTTCCCTGTCGACACGGAGCAGTGTTCCAAGGAGGCATGGAAAGCAAGGAGGTATGCACTAACATTATACATACACGTTCATTCACCCAAATAGGACTATTCGTAGTCAGCTACGTTAGTACCTACTTTTTAGATACAGTCCGATATTATAGTTGTCTTCGTCACCTCTGATAGCTCCTGTCATGGAACCCTACCTTGGTCAGACCTTTTCGCAGATCGGATCATACATAGGGCTACAGAGAGTCCCTACTAGCTCCTGTACGAATGGACTTTCGACATCATTAATGTAGATCTGCCATTTCTCAAACCACGACTAGCAACATCACTTCAATTGCCACTTGCTTGGCCCTGGCTTTCTCATCCTCGATCCTCAGCGCACCTGAACCATACTACAGACACTTCGAGGCTTCGCCCGATGCCGTTCCATCAGTCGACTGCAAGTTTCGTCGCCCGATTCGAATGCCAGGTGATGTTCAAGTGCCTGTCTACCACGTCTCGATTCCAGCCGGCGGAATACTTTCTGGGATATATCACTGACTGATCTTCCACCCGCTTCCAGACGCTTTCTGGTACATTTAGAATGAAGAGCCATGGGAGCTGTTGGTGTCATGTCCTGGTTTCCACAGATTCACATGGGGTGGCCATATAGCTTATCAAACGCGTTTAACCGTCTGATAAATGTTTAGCCATTGTTCAATTTGATGTGCTTGAACTTACCTTCTGCCAAAAGCCTTCTAAACTACCAATAATCCGGTGGCTCAGGCTAAAAGGCCATCCCGTTCGAATGAGGACAGCGACTGAAGGGACTCTAACCGTTAGACCAAAGAGAAATGTAGAGACATATTGAATATAGGGCACCAAGTATTTGTGTAGTTAGGAGAGCTTGCCTCTGCATCGGAGAATGCCTCTGGAGATTGTGACCAGCTATATATATAATGGTCTCCGTCCACTGTTTCGTGGATGCTAATGTTTTGTCGTGCCTGTGATTTCTGTTAGTAACCTACTTTAGAAGTGAAAATAACTTGCACAAGAGCTTCGAAACCCATACGATTTAGGTCTTCACGCTATGTACTGCCATATTACAATTAGAGTTCAAATACCTTGCCAGAAAAGCAATTCAACTCTTTCAACGCTTCCCACATTGCAGCAACGAGATTCCATGTAATGATCAACCACATCATGAATGTAGTGTTCTAGACTTGTCGTCGAGGTGGGCGGATAGCTAGTAGAAGCAATAAAGAAAACATAAAACATGTAATGTGTAGATATAAATTGTCCAGGCTTACGGGACAGAAAGACAAGATCACTAGACATATTCGTCACGTGGCATTACCCGGAACGACAAAGAAGAATCAGAAGCCCTTACAATCTCAATGCAACGTCATCTTCTGGCACAATAACCTTCTGGCACAATAAATCAAAGTTAGCTCTGTGGAAATATAGGCGCTGTCATTTAAGTTTTGGGATCCTTGGCCCTCGTTTGCTCGACTAATTCGTTTTTGTCGCCCTACATGGCACATGTCAAACTAACCCATTCTTTGGAGGCCCATATATGAATATGACATAATTGCGCATGCACATCCATCCACCTGAAAGTTATAGCGGAAGGAATAAATTCCCGATTCTGGATTCTGATTCGTGAATATGCAACAGTGGGGCGAAAGGCCGGGCAGAATTTCCCCGTAGAACCTTTTCGTTGCCTCTCCTACACAGCCACCATCGAATTAAGCAGTTAACTGGTTTTGGCAATATCAGGATGTACCTTACTTAGATCCGCTCAGTGAGCCACGACATTGATGACGCAAGCCTGCCAGTAACCTGCTTCATTGTACTCTATCAATCGGTCGGACTTATATCATTGGCTCTTAATGATAGTGGTTGCCGTTCCAGGCTCGAAACAAATCAAAACTGCAGGAAGAGAATCGTTCTGATATATCTCTTTAAATTTTGGATAATCAAAAAAAGCTTGCCGATACATCCAAGACACAATCAGACAATGCCGATTCGAACTTTCGCAGCCTAGAAACCGAACAAGCCATGCGTGTGATATATGTCGCTCAATACGGGCGAAGTGCTCTGGCGATCCACGGTGTGAGAAATGTGACAGGGACAACGCAATCTGTATTTATGGAGATAGGAAACGCGGAAAGAATAAGAAGTCCATCGATGGCGCTTCCGAAGAATTCGACTGAGGAAACTAACAAAGCCACAGGGATCTCACCAAAAGCCGAGCGCGTATCCACTCCTTAGAAAGAAACGTCCTTGATCTTAAAGAGATACTGCGGAAGATTGCGTCTAGCACGGTCCTTAGTGGACAGTTACAGTCCGAAGTGCAAGCTCTAATATCGGAGGTCAGGTCTCTGGCTATTTTGCTAAGTGCTTGATTCAGTGACTAATTCAGCATTTATAATCATTCGAATTGCAAAGATGTGTCGATCAGAGAACACCAGAAAACCCAATTGAAGAAGGCAATCCTTCATCAGAGTATGCTGAGAACCCGAAGAAGGAGGACGCGGATTCTGACCATTCAGGCATTCCTCCAGTGATACAGGGCCAGCGGTCTGCTTGGACCACCGTCCAAGTGCAATCCGCCGTAGCCGGGCCTTCCCGACTTTCTCATCATTCTCAACTACGAATCGGGAGCTACGATAATGGCAGCGCAGCGCATCGGCCCTCAGCATGGACAAAAGTCACGACAAACGACTCTCTGGTGGATCATTTGGTCGTTCTCTACTTCTGCTAGGAGTACCCAACCTTTGTCAGTCTCTCCAAAGAGCATTTCCTCCTCGACTATAAATCTGGAACAAAGAGGGTTCTGTTCATCTCTACTCGTGAACGCCATATCTGCCATTGGAGCCAGATTTAGTGACTTGGCAGAAGCTCGACTCGATCTGGATGACCGTTATAGCGCTGGAGAACAATTCTTCAATAAGGCCCAGAGATTGCTCAGTATCGAAGCCACCCCAACAGTCGTGACTATTCAAGCCTTGAACTTGATGTCTCTCAGACAAGCTAGCTCCGGTAAAGATGAAAGTGGTTGGCACTATGCTCGACATGTTATGCGAATCGCTCTTGACCTCGACCTCCAGGACGATGACCCGAACCAAGAGCCTACTAATCCCACCGGCTTCAGCCGAGCAGAACGCCAAGAGTGCGTGGCTACTTCTGGGGTTGCTTCGCTTGAGAGCAGTAAGTCTTTCACAGGAGGTCAATATTTCCATATCGTTGATTTTCTGCAAGCGCCTGGGCACTTCTTGTTGGGCGTGCCCCCAAGATCAAACTCAGGTACATCAAATTCCAGAAGCCTATCATGTGAACGAACTCGAACATGAGGAATGGATCACTTACACTGACGAAGGCAGTCACGCGATCGAGTCCACCCGGTAAGCAACAAATCTGTGGTCAGTGTTCGGGGCCTTTACAGAACTGTCAGAGCTTGTACACCAGACGGTTATGCTTCTTTATTCTAACGCTCTTCCGTTAAATGGCCGTGAGATAGTTGGTATCTACACAAAATACCTTCAATGGTATGCTGATCTGCCGGACCAACTGTGACTGGGACAGAATTCCACACCCGTGGTATTGTTCGCACAGTGAGTGCCAAGCAGTTTTCTGTGGCCCAGAAGCTAATTGCGATAGCAATGTACTTTCATAGCGCCCTTCTGATTCACTTCCGACCCTTTCTCAAGCACAAAATAACTGCTAGTTCCATTTCTCCTCGGTCCATCTGTGTAGAAGCATCCAAAAACATCTTAGCTCTAGTGCAGGCATATCAGAGCCTGTATGGCCTACGGCGAGTTCCGGTATTCACTCCGTATCTGATATTGAATGCTGAACTCGGCATAATGGCAGAAAAAGCATGGTTAACTGATGAAACGGCGGCCGATATACGCGCCAAAGATAATCTTGGGTACCTCAGTGAACTTGCATCAGCCCTATCTTTTGTACAACGAGCGATTACTATTCGCAACTTTGTCCGGGATCAATGGAATGGCAATCTATACCATCCAGATCGGGCAATGATAGATGAAGAAGCTGATATTGATACGAAGGCGGGGCCTCGATTGGTGTGGGACCGGCGGGAAACATTCCTTCGACCGAACAGCGGAGTCGAGTCTCACCACATAAGGAGGTCAAAGACAGTACAAGAGAAGCTGGAAGCTTGTGGGCTGGAGGAGCTTCAGGATTAGCGCGTGTTCACGGGAGAACCGAAACAGTGTAAACAATCTTCAAACGAGCCGTTTATTGTATGTCCCGTAATCAACAAGAATTTCAAAGGCGACTCCTATGGGCTAGCAACTTACTTGCAGCACAACAAACACTGGTAGCCGTTTTCCGCTGGCTGTGCCTAACTTAAGGGGCCTGAACACAATTTAAAGTAGTCGAGAACAGACATCCAAAGTGGACAAACACGCACTATCAAATCTTTTAGGGAAGGATTCAGGTACTTTCAGGGAAGAGGGCAAGTATGATGCATACTGATCTCACTAGTAGTCAAGCTAGGGATCTCAGGCGTGATAAATACGATTTTATACATTCCCGTCCGCACCTTTTACCCGTTTGTCGTGCTGGCAGCCTCATGTGCCCTGCACGGTGTGTCTGATGCCTGTATGAAGCGAAGAGGCGTGAGTATTAGCAGATGATGTGACTCGCAAGTACAACGTCCAGAATTCTGGAAAGAGTCGTTGTTGATTCGAAGACTGTTGAAAGGTGGGAGAATGATATAGCCCGACATACCAATTGCCAACTGATGATTAAGACATTATCATATCATGCAAATTGCTTGTCCCCGTGCTCGGAGACGTCCATAATTATCGAGGAGTCGGAAGTCTTCTCATCGTATTGACAGCATCCGTCGACATCTGATCGCTGTACTTACAGAGTTAACTTCGACATAAAATGTGGTGGCCGCAATGGAGTGTCAGAAAGCAAGTGCTGGCATGACACTCCGCAGGTGTTGACGTTTCACAGAAACCTTGTCTTATCACCTCATTTCTGAGGACAACCACCTCGTCATGTAAGGCGTGCACCAGCGTCAGAAGCTCGTGCATCCTTCCCTCCTCTGTACGACATTTCTTTTGCAGATTTTCCATAAAGCTCTTTTGTCGATTACGGCATTTTGTAGCAGCTTTGCGGTTAAGGTCCAATTCTCTTGCATGCCTGTCTGATCGAGGAGTGATGCGACTTGTTGCCGTTTTACGCCGCCTTACTGGTGTGTTCCTTGGCCGGTAGGTGTCATTGTTCATGTCTTCCGATGCGAGAGACAGGCGCCGCAAAGTTTGTCCGTGATCAAAAGAGACGAACCTCGACAACGCATCAAAAGGCGACTGATTAGTATGTGCTGAGTTGACGGATTTGTTCGAGGAGATCGATTTGTGTATATCCTGGGGCTGGACATACTGTGGGATCACAATCTGCAGAAGAGCTGGAGATGGTGAGAATGTGTTATTTTCCTCCTGTTTTAGCATTGAGACATCAAAGGTGCTGTCTGATATGGTCGAAGCTCCAGGGAACGATGAAAATAGCCAGGAGTTGGTCGGGTGGTCCATGGATATGTGAGTGGGAATATGGCTTCCAAGGCGATGATTGCAATTATTCAAGGCGTTCATCGGGGTGTGGTATGAACAGTACAGCTAGAGCTCCAGCTAAGCCGCCATCAAATAATGCAAACTGACTCGGATGAAATGCTGAATCCAAGATGAGAAGTCACCACTGGTATTTAGTTTCTCTGGATTTGGGCTTATGTAGGTCGTCGGATATTTCGTCATTTAACCTAGTTGGTGAAAGTATAAAACCGCACGGACCAGTCGTCAGGAGACTCGCTGTGAATGGGAGAGGTCTTCTATTGCCAGAGTCCTGAAATACGAAAAGGATTGACATAGATAGGGTATTTATGGGACCCTCACCGGTCTCCGAAAGAATTTGCCGTCGATGTCACTCTTCATGTGGGCGACAGTGATGATAGTAGCGCTAATGGCACGCGCTGGAACAGTACCTACACCTGTACCCCTGGAAAGTTCAGGGATAAATCAGACTTCTTTCTGCTGGCTCGACGTAGCCCCAATTTTCACCTCTTGATAAGGTGGGCCTTCACTGAAACCCCTCTTGAAACGTGATTGGTTGTACCGGAGATCGGTCTTCGTTGGCAAAGATTGGTTTGATTGATTTCTCTAGGGGGTGCCTCAGACAAGGTTTATCCCCAGCCCTTTCTAAGCCCTTGGCGTTGGAATATAATACCCTGGCGAAGTACCCATCCAGTAGAGCTTGGTTAGTGTTGCGCTCTCCGGAGGTTTATTCCGCTGCAACATATTGGACCGTGTCTCCATTGACGTCTTGGTACTTCCTCCTCACTAGCCCTTGCACAAGAGCAGCCCAAAAGAACAATTTCCAGGTCACTTGGCGAAGATCCTTGATCTCTATAAGCGCATCCATGCAACCTCCTCAGTTGTTATAGCCTCAATACTCAGCACCAGGAGAGCCCCGCCATGATGACGACAACATCTGTCCTCAGGTTTCGCGACTTTTTCGTATAAAGCGGGTAATGCCGAGACGTGACTCTCAAAGCTCGTTTTATTCTGATCCATCTTATTCAACTCATTACGCTTGGAGTGGCGATCCATTGAATGATGATGGCCATCTCCAAAAAAAGCCAGGACAGCAGGAGCTCTGAAAAGGCTAACAGCCGAACTCCACGTGCTTGTGACCGATGCCGTTTAAAAAAGTCTAAGTGCGATGGCACAAAACCTTGCAAAACCTGCCGAGGTAGTGATAGCGTTTGTATGTATAATGTGAGGAGGGGACGAGAAGCCAGAAGCTAGTAAGTCTACGCAAATATGAAGGTCAACGCATCTCTAACATTCTAGCTATAATCAAATGCGAGAAGTGACCGACACAGCGCTCCTGCGCTTGTACTGGGCATGTCGGAGCCGCTCTGGTTTTCCTGGTCATCCGCTGGATGAATCAAAAGGCAACCCATCAACCACTGCAATCCTTGACGCGATGGGCCTAACGGCACCCTCACTTGAAGACATAAAATGCCCCGCAAATCTGCAAAAATATACCAGTTTCAATGGCAGTTCTTCGGCTCGACCAAAACAGCCGGGAATGAGCCCGAAATCCGCAGGATCACTTACGGAAGAGGACTATCTTCCATCGCATACCCAGTCCCCGTTGAGTATGTCTTCTATGGCACATAGTCCGCAGTCCGGAGACTCTCTAGCCACCACCAACAACACCTTGATAATACCAGCAACTCCTCCTGAGATGGATATATCTGGGCACTTTCAATACGCAGCTACAGAACATCCCCATTCTCACAGCACTTCCGATGGAGACCGCGTATATTATACCAACACCAACAACTCATCGGTCGTGACCTTCGATATCAACACCTATTTGGATACGAGCTCTTGCACAATACCGAACTATGCCACGAGTCCAGTTTATAATGCGCACAATTCCATTCAATATGATACTAGTGCAATAAACGATCTGACTCAACCTCTTTATTCCGGGGATAGATCCTCCTCATCGGTCCCACATATTATTGATAGCTACCTTCCGCCCTGGCCTGGAACATTAGC